TATAAGTATATATATATATATATATATATATATATATACATGAGTGTATGGGTCATGACCGTATCCTGGCTGAATAAAAACGCATGAAGCGAGCCACAGCCATACACACCATGTCATCGTGTATTTGAGAGGACGGCTGCTCTTCGAATCTTCAGCTTTCAAAGTCTAAATTTCTAGTTTTGTCAACAATTGTTCTTTGTGCTTAGCCTTTTGTGATCACTGGTTTATTGAGCCAAACTGCTGTGAATTAGTAATATAGATGGAAACCAAGCGTGCTGAATTATCATCTCCCTGTGAAAAGTATATATTCTAAGCTGATGAGTCGGAACACCACTAACTTCGATCGGATTGGTGGCTGCGATATTGGATTTGCACACAAAAAAGACAATTGGGTGGCATCAAAGTTGAATATAACACACGCAATTTACGTGCGTCCAGCGGACGCTGATTGGTAGTGGCAACACGTCCACCTCGCATATCAGATATCCGACATGGCCAACATGGATACGCAATGCTGATGAGCTCTTCCTAATTTGTGTGGACTAACCAGAGCGCTTGCACCAGGACCAATGGAGAACTGCTCAGACAAGAATTACCTAAATGTGAATTCTACGACCATTTATAGCAGATATAGAAAGGTATCTTCTATTCGGAGGCAAATGAATTTACAACACGCAGTATTCAGGACTCTCATTTCGTTCGGCAACATTGTTGCAGGGCTCCAGAGTATTCCAGATTACATTCCAACGTGCACGTGCTTTGTTGAAAAAAATGAAGCATTTTGTCTTCGAACAATTTTAATTCCCGATCCTACCTAAAAATGAAGTTCTTACTACACATTCTGGGAAACCTAGAGGGATATTAGAATGAGAAGTGAGAATTCCCTGTTTCTCACCAAGGGCCTCACTGACCACTAGAGTATACATACCACCTTACGCCCACGCTTCAGTTTCACTTGGTGGTTGTTCCAAGCAAATCGAATTAGTGTGTTTTCCATGTGTGGCTATCAGTGATTTGCTAATCAACACCAATCACACACTGAGTGATGATACCTCAGCGTTTGTTTCATCTCGGAAAATTCTATTAACTCAATCAAAATTTAAATGAAGCTTCTGTTCATTCGGTCCGGGTCACTTCCCTGGGGATAACGCGGTTGAACATGTAAACAGAAAAACGTTCGGTTTTTTGTTTGAAACTAACGAACTACGATTATTCGATCTAACAAATGACAGTAATCGGGGACCTAAGTGAATTCGACTGGATTATCTAACAACTGCAGTGTGCAAGCCTTCTCGAGGGGTAACTTTCCACACACCAACAATTACAGCAAATAACCGTTTGGTGGTCACAACCCTAGACAAACTGAAGGCAAATGCTGGTGCTTTGTTAAATCCGGGTTGGTTTGTGTTATAATTGATACATTTGCCTGAAGGAATGAATGAGCAGGGTTTATGATTGTGAACGCCTGAGTACAACACAAATCGGGGGATTTTGTTACAATGCAGAAGGATATCAAACAATTGTCTACTAGCAAAATGCGGGTGATTTTTTGTTATCTTGCCTGAGCAACCCATTGCGATGGAGGATGCAGTACCTACGCACTTTCTTCCAGCTGACAGGTGTCTCATGTATGCAAAACTATGTACAGCATGTCCATTTGGCAAAAGCTGGAATTGAGAAAATGGACAGCTTTGGTTTGCCTAAAACGGAAAAACGGTCTGTACAAAACAAGCATACACATTCGGATCCATGTTTATTGGCTTGTTTGTTCTCTATGGGTCCTTTTGTTCAAGTAGACTCACGTACTTCTACGGGATGCTCAGCACTAAAATCGCCACTCAAGCAATGTAGGGTTGAACATGACAGAGCTCATTCAGCTGGTAGTTCATTGACATGCCTACTCAGGAATAAAATTCATGCCGCACATGGTGATATACGTTGAATCAACACTTCAGAACGCACAGTGCTGTCCTAAACTTGATTGATCGGTGTTCATCCCAAATTTCAACAATCGGGCCTCAGACGTGGACCCTCTGCAAAGTCGAAATAAGGCTCCTGACGCTGAAAAGAAAGCGCGCCGGATAGACATCACCGAATCATGTTTGTTAGACGTTTATTTGCTCATCCGTTTCTTCGCAGATTTGCGGGGTTGTTCACAACTTTGGCAGCACAAAGTCATTTATCGCATTAATTTATCAGCTACCTGTTTTCCTAACACAATGAAACTGTGAAACAAATTGAATGAAATCGACCGGCAAGTTTTCTATTCTGGTGTTTTGCTAAAATTTATTCAGTTTAGCTGATTTCAAACGTGATTATACCGTTAAGTTCTACCTAGCCCCCAAGAGATGGTTGGAAACTCCAAACATTATTAGATTAAAAGTGATGAGCTAATTGCTTGCCTCGTTAGGTAATAAAATAATCATGTGTATTTTCATTAATTTAAAGAAATCCGAAAAAGTTACGTCACTCAGTTTCTATGGAAAGAACAGACTTTTTTGCTCACTAATATACTAACTACAGTATGAAAAATAGAAATGTCCAATCCCCGCTTATATCTAGAGAGGTTAAAATATTGCTGATCCGTTGAAAATGTTTTGGGCCTCTAAAAGAGACATATTTTGGGGCCCAGTAAGAGGCATAGTATGAAAAAAGCAATTGTGAGACAACTGAGAGGATAGAAATTACCCTACAGTGAGTTTTTCTTTTGCTGTTTGCCGTTCACTTTGTTTGAACAAGCAAACAGGATAGGTTCAAGATGAAACTCAGATAAGGACGGGGCAGGTTTCGAATTCTCCGACCAGAATGAACAGAACAGAGGAGAGCAAACT